ACCCCACCAGCATCCCCCTCCTCCCCCATCTCGACATCCCTCCCCGCACCCACGCCCGCTGCAGAACCAAGACACTCCCGAATACAAATCCAGCACGTCCTCCTTCTACACGCGCCACAATCCGCAAAAGAGTCTAGTTCCGCCTTGAGCGTCGGTTTGCGATGACAGATATGACACGGACTAAGATCTGTTTTCTTGACTGGTGATTGTGGTTGCGGTTGTGATTGTGGTTGCCTCCCTATTGTCCTCTCGACTGCATCCCCCTTTGGTGAGAGAGGGGTGGAAGACCCGATATCGATATTGACCTCGTCATGAGATGGGACTCGCTCGATACGCTGGCGTTTATGGCTTTCTCTCCGTGAGGAGATAGGTAGGATTCTACGTTCGCGGTCTTTGTATTCTAAGTGTTGGAGCTGTTTTTCTTCCAGGAGGGTGGTGTGGTCGGTTTGTGATGATTCAGAGCGATGGTGTTTTAGCTGAGGACTATTCTTGGTCAGCTCTTCCTTCATTCAATTCGTTCATGTCCTTGTTGTAGTGTCTCCCTCTAGCAGTACAAGAAAGAAAGGTCCGTATAAACCTACCTACAAACCCTCACCACGCTCACCACGCTCTCCGCATCCTCCCACATCCTCTTCTTCGCCCCCGCGCCATCTTGCAGTACCTGTGCGATTGAAGGCATATCCTCCCTTCACTGTCCCTTCAAATCAATCTTCCTGCCTTTCCCAAGGAACCTCGCGATCCCTGAACCTGATCTGGTGGTTTTGCGATATTGCGCAGAACAGCAAGCAATTGACAAGATAAAGACAGCGGGTATGACGAATATAATCTTGTCTTTTAATATGGAAAGCAGACGCTCTAGGACGACGTAATTGTATCTGTATGTGTATCGTAATTGTTGCGAACGAACGACAACGACGACAAGTTGATGTATGTCGTGAGATAAGCCTAACTTAAGTAGCTTGGCCCTGAATATAGGTAGGTGCTTGACCCCAGAGAGCGCTGTCCGAGGTACCCAGTTGAGGGTCATCCCGGCGCCTAAACTGGGGAACCTTGGTCTTGGCGAATACTCTAGCATTTACCCAGTCACATCTAGTGCACACTAGAAACCCTAGAAACCTCGCTTGAAAGTTGTAAAAGAAGTATGGACAAGTTTAGTTAGGAAATAAGAAGATAGCAGAAGGATAAAGGCTGAATTTAGGAAGATGTTGATATTGGAAAATGTGTTTACCTATGTGATGTGAATTGTTTGAGTTTATTTCACCTCTAATTGGACCTTCGCTTAGAGTAAGAACTCACAGTACTTGTAGGATACCCATGAAACAAAACAAAAACACCAGAAAACAGCTTACAGTACAGCCCCTTCGCAAAAGTAGGCAGAAACAAGGGTTTGGTGCAAATGGTGGTACTTTTAGCTTGACGTATAGTCCTAAGGTGGTATGCCACTTATATGCTATTTAACCCTAACCCTAAGGCCAGATGATCGAAGCATGAAGCTGAAAAGTTAGTCTAGAACGCTATAATAGTAGGAATGCAATAAAAAACTACTGAAATGCACAAAACTGTACAAAAGGGCCTATACGCATATAAAACTTTCTTGCTACTTTTGCGAAGGGGTTGTACTGTACCTGGACTCTAGACTCAAGACTCTACCAACCAAACAAAATTCCATATCTATGAATCTGGGTAAATACATCACTTAATTTATCATCAACCTCCTCCTGACCCTCACTACTTTATCAGTAAACTACCAAGCTCCCACTTCCTCACTTCCTCAATCCTCTATCCAATCATCCAAACTCTTAGTCCTACCATTCTCACAACAAGAAAACGAACAAGAGGATGATATCCCATGTCTTTCATTACTCTCTATATACTATTTTGGAATTTCACATGCCCATATTCATACTTTTGCCCAAACAATTCATCCCAACACCAATCGCAATGCCCAACCAATGTCCCAAAAAAACGCCAGAAAAAAAGAAACAAGACCATGCAAACATACATTTTACCTCCGTCATCCCTAATCCCCTACTCCCCCCTCCTTCCTATCCTCTCCACCCAAACCAAATCCTAAATCCCCTCATAAATTCATACCCCCTCATCCACATCACCAACCTCACCTCCTCCCCTCAAAATTATCCCACTTACACTTACACCCCCCATCCCCCCCATCAACCCCCCCCANCCCCATCAACCCCCCCCAGCGCCGGATCCGCCATCTCACTCCCAAAAAGCACATTCGCAGGATTCACCAGACCCCCACCAAAGAACCTCTGCTCCTGCATGATCTTCCCACTCCCACCCACATTCCTCCCTCGCTCATCAATCTTATAACAGTATACCATTTTCGTCCGCGGATCGCCCCCGTGTCGATCCACAGTCACAGTGACAGGATACGGGAAAGAGCCAGGTTGGCTGTAATCATGTGCTAGATCCACGGGGGTATGAGTCGAGGTGGAGTTTAGGAGTTGGGCAGTGGTGTTTTGAAGTGTCCAGATTTGGACGAGGAAGCGTGTTTGGGTCCATGTGCAACGGAACTGGGCTTCGTTCTTGGTGGCGCCGCCGTTTCGATCAGCGGGGACTTCGCCGTTGAGGTCGTTGGTGGCGTTGAGGAGGTCGATGGATTTGAGGAAGATGGAGCGGTCGTAGTAGGTGTAGAAACCATAGTGTTCGGTTGGGAGACCACGGTCGTAAAGGCGGATTGGTTGTTGTGTGGGAAAAGGTAGTAGGTTGGCTGGTGCTGCTGTGCCATCTGAGTCGGAGCTTGGTGCTGGGATGATGATATCGAGATCTGGGAATGGATCGGATGTGTTTGATTGTCTGGTAGCCAAAGCGCGCTTCGTGAAATTGGATTTCTCGGGTTGTAGAAGAGAGATGTAGAATGGCGTTGGCTCCCCAGCCTTTTGGTCTGAAACAATCCCATCTGTGGTATTTCCGAGAAAGAAACCATCAGCGAAAGAAGGTGGTGCTGGTGAGGGTACAATAGTGATTGCCCTTTTGGCTCTGAGAAGTATCCGTCTAACAAATTGACCAGCAGAAACAGCGTTACCACCTAGAGCACGGATAGGAAGATTTGGATTCCCAGTAACATTGGCAAAAGTAGCATTTGTCTCCGTGCTATTATCCCACTGAATATCCAGTAGAAAATTGGGCTGATTGGGTTGATTTGGAGCAACAGATGATTGAAGTTCTTTGGGTAAACTGCAACTCCACTGGGTAGCTGGAAAGACGCATCCAGTATTTTCAACCGTGTTGACAGGCGCTACAATAGTAGAAAGACCGGCAAAAATTGGAGGAAATCCAGTCAAATTGACCCATTGAGATGTCTCAATCCCCGAGCTAGGTTTTCGATGAAGTTGCGTTGCCAATACAACTGCCAGGATAATCACCAACAAGAATCCAATGATTATTCCAATGCAACAACGTCGCTTCTTTCGTCCTTCAGCTCCACCACGACCATAGCAACCTCTCTTTGGGACACAACCTCGACCACGCCACCAGCCTCCAGCTCTACGAGCGACAGCATCTTCCTTTTCGTGTCGTCTACGTTTCGCTTCTGCTTTCTTAGCATGTTTGGTCGGAGGCGGTAAGTAAGCGGCAATGATAGGCGCATTGCCTCTCGGGGGAAGTGCTGGATAAGAAGAGTTCAGATTGATTGTTGAACGAGCTGGCGTTAATGGAACATTGTCCATCTGAACTGCTCCTGGGCCCGCCATGGAATTTTGCATTCCTGGTGTTAGGGGGCCAGGCGACATTGGTTGTTCCATATTGAGGGCGTGCCCTGGAGGGAAAATTGCTCTATACCGCGGGATATGAGATGGTGGAGGTGAGTAAGCTGGTGGGGGAGTATTTGATGGAGATTGGTGAACATGATTAACATTGTTGACAATCAAAGTTTGAGGTTGCTGCTGCATCACAACCACAGGTGCAGGTTGCACGGCTTGTCTTCTGGATGAAATAGAAGACTCATTCATATCAGATGATTGAGGCCGTCCGAATGGGTTGTTGCTCTGTAAACCCCGCATATTATTCTCTATGGGCGATACCGGAAGTTCTCTATCACTAATATCAAGCCCTGATGATGGCAAGCTAGGAACCGGACTCTCTGGGTAACGCGGAGAAACTGGCGCATCGCCAGAAAAGACAAAAGGCACTGTGACTGCAGATACCTGGGTCTTGTGTCCCAACATACTGTCAACCGGTGATTGGACGGCAGACTTCGGGTCTGCGTTCCACCATGTATCTGACTGAATGGTTGTTGTCGTTGTAGGCGTGAGTGGAGAAAATTGCTTCTCCCATGTTTTCCCATCTCTCTCATTCTCAGCCTTCGCAGCAGCAATTGCTAAATTCGGAAGAGCAGGAGGTTGTTGAGTTGGAGCATCGTTTGTTGCAAATGTATTTGATCGTGTTAAAAATGGGGTTGTAATATAATTCCACCACCCTTTTGAATACCGGCGTGGTGTAGCCGGGGTGGCAGTCGTTCCAACGCTCGCACGTCTCCCAGATTTTGAGCCATCAGAAACTGAGACTCCACGTGCCGTTCTGACAACGATAGGACTAACATCTTCTTCAAAAATGGTGCATGAGGAAACCACACGAGATCTGACACTCTCATCCTCCCAAGTGGTTCCATCTTCGGTATCTGGAGAAAAGCAGCTCTTTTGCGCTGCAATGCGCTGCTGCTCTTCTTTGAGAATATTATTGGGAACCTTTGGCACAGGAGGAGCAGCAGCCGTGTTATGCTCAGTGCTGACTTGAGAGTAGAAGCTCGAAGTGGCTGAATATTTTTGTCCATTGTACAAACTACCTTCATCAAAAGGGGACCAAGTAGATCCTTCATTTGCAGGTGTAATGATAATTGTTGGGGTTTCTATTATCGGGGTTCGATGTTGATAACTTTGGACGATATTTGAGGTCTCAGAGGAAGCTGTCTGAGGACTTGGTTGGTGCATGGATACATCTCGGGAAGGAATGGAAAGACCAATAAATATCGGTCGGTCACTTGGTGATAGATCAACGTATGGATCGTGGGGTCTAGGTGCGAGAGCTACCTCACTTGGAACTGGGTTTTGTGCGGACACATCGGCTGGCTGTGGAAGATCTTGGAGTCAGCATTTCAATTTTATCATTATATGAGGTTTCAAGACCTGCTTGAAATACACCAAAAGGAAATAAGACTCAAAGAATACCACCTACTTTATTTTTCAGTGTCTTCCAGAATCCGCCAGTCTTGGCTTTGGGTTTTGGCCCGCCATTGAGAGCTTCGAGGGCCGCTAGATCAACAAAACAGCCCCCCTGGGCATTCGGTTTCTGGGCTGGTAACTGTGCTGGTGTTGGATTCTGCCTTGCAGAGAAATCCGTTACCAATTTAATCCCTGCCTGTGCATTTTGTTTTCTCTGTCTCCCTCTGGATTTATGTCGAATGGGTTTGTGAACGGAGTATTTCTTTTCCACTTTTCGGGTGGTACTTCGATTTAGGGATCTCCCGTTCGATCCGCCATTATTTTCGTGCAATTTTTGGTTTTTCGGTGATGTAGACTCTACATCTTCCCACCATTCGTAAGCATCGCTGTCGCTATCGTCGTCGTCAAATGGTGTTTCGAAAGGATTCGTTGCGGAGCCTGCCGTGAGGCCTTTCGAGTCGCCATTTGACTTTGCGTTCGTGCCAATTACGGCAGACATATGTGAATTGAAAGATATGCAGGGGCGGAGAATTGATATCTAAAATTAATCCAGCTGATAAGTACGGATCGATGATTCGAAAATGTTGTATTTATTGTAGTGGTTTGCGAAGTTTGCAAGTGAGTGAAAGTAGGTAGCTCGTTCGTTATAGTTTTTGTTGTGAATGAGGAAGGAATGACCGGAAGACAGAAAAAGACAATAATGAATAAGATGTATCGAAGGAAGTTCTAAATGGTACAATGTGACAAAGGCAAGCTATTGTGTTGAGCCCTATTTTAGAGTGGAAACAATAGGTGGGGTGACAATAGGAAGGTGGTTCTTTCGAGCAACAATAATGAAGACAAAGGTAACGACGGTAACTTGGACACAGCAACACGGGAAGCTGGAAGGAATTGCGACAAAGACACAAAAAAAAGATGAGGTGTATGGAAGAGAGAAAGATGAAACGAAGACTCATATCATGGCCAGAACTTCAGTCATGGGATGGGCATGTACTCGAGTATATGGACGACGAGGCATATACTCGTACTCCCTTCTGGCACGACCATGAAGCTCGCTCAGCCTTGCACCCAGAGATGATGTGCAGGGGATACAGCATTACCAGCCTGTTTTGCAGGCCTTGGGACAATTCTCATTCGACAACAGTCACAGATGGGGACATTACGACCTTCGTTCGTTGGTTGTCGATGAATATACGCGCCCACGAAAAGGCGTGCAGGCATGTCTGTGGTGTGTTGGCGAGCGCTTAGAGATTCGGCTTTAAACAGCCGGAACCAATGAGGGCACTTTCAAATCCACGGTCGGTGAAAAGTGGCAGAAAGCTGCATTAGGAAGTGCCCAAACAATAAACTACGAAGTATAAAATTACCTCTAAATACTTCTAGAAAAGAAGCTCAAAGTGCGTGCGCAAGATGTTGCTTATTAACCTGGAGCAGATCCGCGACCCACATTTCTCGAAGGCAAAGCCCCAGCACTTCATTCCTAAGGATCGGAATTACTTCACAAGTTCACGAAGTATCTTCCGACACACTCACCTCACGTGCGAGATAACAATTGAGCACCAACCATCTTTAGGTAGCTCTCGGCAATCTAACTGCCAAACGTCAAATACTAGAGTACTATTCGCTACAGTAGGTATTGAACAGGGGCTATTTGTAGCTTAACTTTCGTGCTGTATTTACATGTAAGAAACGAACAGCTGAATTCCTAAGGTACCATCCAAGGCTGGTGGATCTGTATTGGGTAGCCAAAGAATGGGAAACAGCCTCCGACTCACCGTAGAAGATTAACTACTTCTTCCCAGGCGAAATAAATGTAGGTTTGCTAGGGTGGCTAAGGTTGGCAACAGGGTAAACACCCCTGAAAACCCTACGATTATTTCGCCTGGGACGAATTAGATATGTTCCCCAAGTAAAGTCAGTATAAGCTTACCTTAACGCTAATCGAAAACTTTAAAATGTAAGATTATACTCCCTAACACTATCACGACTCTAATCAAATTTGATCAGCAATTATCTGGTGTTATATGGTTATTATACAAATCAACCAGTACCGGTTTTTAACGGATATTATTATACTTCGTAAACCAAAGTAACACTTTAACGGGTAAACGTGTGTACGTACCATTGTACTCACTGAGAAAATCGATGTCTGAGGCGGGGCAATCCATTTCAGTACATGAGACGAGAGTCACGTGGTATGGATGCCCAGGGGGTCGGGTACCTACTAATTTAGTCTATTTATTTCAATGCTGTACATACGAGTTTGATCAGAATATCTTTTGTCAGAAGAATATCGAGGGGAGGTTGTCTGAGAGGCTTCAAGTATAGAAAATAGGGATTTACAGGTTGGGGAAATTCTGGGGGGGCTTCCTGGTAATACTATAGGAGCTCGGTGGTTAAATTTTGAAATTCGCAGTTATCGCGTTATTCAGGGCACTTGTTGGATTCTTATCTCATCTGAATTCGCGGAGGAGTGTAATTGTGATTTACAGTATGTGTGGTGCATGATCACAAATTTCGTTGGCTATTTCGCACCCACCGGATTATCGTAATCCGTTGTAACTATTACTGTAGTGTAACACAAAATTTAAATACTCTGAGGGCTAGGCAGAAATTCAGCTCACTCATAGTTATGATGCGGTTTATTGTTCTTTCTTTTTCTTTTTGATATTTCCTTTCTGGGTATAAATAGAGGTGGTAAAATTAAGCGAATGGAAATAAGGTTACATGGCATGGCACTTTTGAGTTCTGACAGGATAAGTGGCACCGGATAGCTTCTTTATTTTTACTTTCTAGAAACACCGGATGAGTTAATCGAACATGATTGGATCCATTCATCTGAGTACTGTACTGTTTAGATGGTCTTTGCGCTGTAATTGATATGGAGCAAAAAAGGCTGAGCTGCTGTCTAATGGGGCCACCACGAGGCAGACATCTGGGGTAACTAATCGTAATGTGGCAACAATCCACAGAGTAATAAATATCTAAATATCGATACAGAAATTAATTATAAGCCAAATAAAGCTGAGTAAATGAGCGGGGGTGATTTAATTCATTCTGGTAGGAGGAAATTGCAAAAGCAGCCAAAAAAGCACTATTTGAAACCACTCTCAAATGAAATGTCCACATATTCAAGGGTGATCCATTTCCCCAAAAGACCTCCCAACGTTTCTTGTCAGAACACCTTATTCACATACCTCGTATATTGTTCTGCAGACCTCGTGCGATGGAAATGCAGAAGAAGCAGCATGATGACTAGACGCAATTCCCGTATGTCGTGATCATCTCAGTATCACCAACGCGAGGACGAGGCTGATAAGGGGGTTCCATCAAGCGAGTGGCATCCCTAGTCCTATCATAACGGCTACCTGAAAGCGGGAAAGACCAGCACGGCAAGGTGACCGCCAAGACGATCGCAGACTAGCTTTGAATACTTCATCAATATATTTTCCCCCTGATTTTTTTCGGAAGCAATAATTCCAGATAGGTAATCAAATGTTTGGTGCATGTAGGTACCTAGTTAGTGTGGTGTTGTTGTTTTAAGTAATATAGTTAGTGCCTTTTCAGGTAGTTGGCAAAAGCCCATCTCATCAACTCATGACTTAGCCTACCTCAGTATCTTTGCAGAGGTATAGGTAGTATAGGTAGTCTGTATTGGTGGCAATACTCGAGTAGGTAGATAAGCTCCGAGTAAGACTTACTGTACTACGTATAGCACTCTCCGGCTCACACCAAAAGTGATCGCTCCCCCCGCCCGTAGAAAGGCCGTCGCCAAGGCTCCTTACTGTGTCCGTTCCCAGACGCCAGGCCACCCCCGTCAATCACGAACCAAAGTTTCTGGTGGCAGAACACTCCGTAATCCATACTGTATCCATCGCAGCAGCTGTACCGTATAATTCTGGACTCCTCATTCTGCATTGCAACGTCTCCCTACCCGTTCGCATCAGCTGCACTGCGCACCCCGTCTTCGCCTACGCCTACGCCTACACCACGCCTGCACCTACATCTAAGCATAAGCTCACGCCTACGCCTACTCGACCTGCCGCAACGAGATAAGACACTAAATCAGGCGAATCGAATTCGCCGCCCCCCGGAGGGATTTTCCTACAGAAAAGCCACCTGCATTTCCATACCAGAAGGTCTGTGAACCTCTGGTATCCCGCCCTCGTCCTGGCGTCATTAACTCCCACCTCTTTCTCCTCCGCTGGCGGGTCGTTCTCTCATCGACGAAGGCGCTCGGAAATCTTGAGTGCAAGCGTCCCTCCTGGTATTAATACTCAAGAGTCCACTGGAGTCGACATCGATACCGAAACCTCCCCATCGCGAACAACGGTCACCATTCTGTCTCCTATCCCTGGGACGCCTGTGACACCTGTAAGTGGCACACACAGTGTTCCTATGACGCTGTCGCGCAGCCCCTCTCCTCGGCCAGGAGGTGGATGGGCGAGTCCGGGCCTCAACAGTCCATATCATGATGGCAGTGGGCGATCAAGTCCTTCGGGGGGCTTTCGTGGCTCCAATGGTGCTTCCTCAGTAACATGGGAATCGGCCAAGGCCAAGAGCGAAGGGGTCAATGGCTACCCATCATTCTCTACACAGAATAACGGCTTCTTCAATCGACACTACAGGTCCATTTCCAACAGTCTGCCCAGGTTCAATGGCGGATCCCACAAAAGCTATGCTGAAAAGGAGAAACTGGGGAGAGGTCGGTGGGTGCCAGGTGGAAGCAAGCTGGCCAGGCTACGGATCATGGCATTAAATACTTCACGAAAGACGCGCATGCGACTGCTAACTGTCCTCGGTCTCATTGTAATGATCATTCTCTTTTACACCACCCGTAAGCTTCCCACACCCAATACTCGTCCCAACAAAAGTCTGACCAAATATAGCTTTGCACTACTATTGGCGAAGGAGCAAGCATCTCGGGGGTGGAAAGAAGTTCGTAATAATACTCGCTGCAAACCAAGGAGGTGGTGTAATGGAGTGGAAGGGTCCGCGAGAATGGGCAATTGAGCGCGACAGTGTACGGAATAAAAGAAAGTATGCCAATAGATGGGGGTATGAGCTAGAGATTGTCGACATGAGCACCAAGAAGAGATATGCTCACGAGTGGAGAGAAAGTTGGGAGAAGGTCGACACGATTCGGAATTGCTTGAGAAAGTATCCCGATGCCGAATGGTTCGTGGCTTCGCCAACTTGCTAATTATTCCGCTAACAAAAATTCTAGGTTCTGGTGGATGGATCTTAACACTTTCGTCATGGAGCCTTCCTACTCTCTGCAATCGCATGTTTTTAATCACCTCGCTAAAAACACCTATCGCGACATCAATGATTATAACCCTCTTAATATCACACATCCTTTTACATCGCCTCACCTTGATGCTGAAGCTCTTAGCGCTGTGGGAGATGGAAAGGAGAGCTCTATCAATTTGGTGGTCCCCCAGGACTGCTCTGGATTCAATCTCGGGTCATTTTTCATAAAACGAAGCGCGTGGACTGATCGTTTACTTGATGTCTGGTGGGATCCAGTCGGTTACGAGCAAAAGCATATGGAATGGGAACATAAAGAGCAAGATGCCCTGGAATTCCTCTACACCAATCAGCCATGGATCCGGCCACATACAGCATTCATCCCACAACGATCAATCAACAGTTTCCCGCCGGGGGCTTGTTCTGACAATGGAAACGATACCCGAATTCATTACAACGAGAAGGACAGAGATTTCGTTGTGAATATGGCAGGATGCGAATGGGGACGTGATTGCTGGGGAGAAATGTACAACTATCGCGAGTTGAGCAATTTATTGAACCGCAACCCATGGGAGCTATTCAAGGAGGAGTTTGTTGCCGTTATTTGGTTCAAGATCACCGGACACAAAGTCAAGTTATAGGGGAGGATTAATATGTCGATGCGCAAAGACTTTTGATGTTTTCATGCATGTATCTGGGATACTCAACCTTGCTTTTCTAGCCGCCCATGGTACGGATTCTGCGTATCCACAGTGGAGCTGTTCATTAGATGGCCCATGGCTTCATAGTTTTTGATTGGGTTTGCATTGTGTTGGGTCTGCACTCGATGCGGAGGAGTTTTTCCTTTTTTTAGCCCAACGTGTATAGGCGGATTAGATAGAGGGCATGTAACATAAATCACGACAATTTTAAGAATATTCTTCGAAGGGGTCGTCTGATTCTCTGACGCATCTCAGTTTGAAAAATCTGGTTGAGGATGAAGATGTAGACGACCAGAAGGAGTTTGGTCTTTACATAACCTGGCAAAGACTCAGAGATTGCGTGTTGGCCTGGGTAGGTCATATTGTGAAATTGTTGGTCGGCCTGTTTCAACCGCGAAATTCGTTGCGCCAAACAATCGCCCTCGCTTAACACAAGAACCCACTCCAACCAATCAAAGCGACGTTTCTCGCCTGGTGACAAAGGAACTCAAACAATGCCCCATCGTAACCTAATCCCAGGATTCAACCACCAAGATAATTCATCTACGTACAGCGTCTCTCCATCAGTCACCGCGGCCCTCCATGCAGAGTCTCGAGCTTCCGACTCCCTGACAGCGCTTCGAGTTTTTGGGTAAGGAATGCTTGGCCACTCCGTTGCGATGAACCTCTTGGAACTCTTTCTTCGATGCCTCGCTAGCTTGGTTGTCAGGGCCTGACTGCACCTTTCCTGGCTTTTGGGAGAGGTCTGGACTTGCTGATGTTCTGTGTGAAGAAATCATAGGATGGATTGAGGAGTGGTGGGGTGAAGGTTGTGCTGGGGCTGTGGTTTGAGGGAGGGAAGAGTCAATGTAGGTCAGTCCATACATAGCCCCATACAGAAAGCTCTCGTGGATCACTGGGTCTAGCGAGTTTGAGATGGCTGTTGATTTATATATCTTCCTTTGTTTCCTCTTTTCATGAAAGATCTAATTTTGTCTTTTTGTTTTGGGTGGTTGAGCTTGCTTTTTCGTTTCTTTGTTCTGGTTTTGTTGCTGATTTTCTTGTTATTGGATATTCACAATAGGATAAAGCTCTTATTGGGTTCTGGTACAATTGGTAATTCACAATCGCTTTGTTGTTGTTATATCGTTCCTTGCTGTTATTCACGAAGACTCGGTGTTTGCGATATATTTTTGAGGTCACGGCGAGGTCTTTTCCAACAGTCTGACACATAGTATCTACATCCGATGTATAAGAGATCCGATCTTTCTTGACACAATCATACCCAAAACATTTCCCGCACAATGCGTCCTACCTCTTTCCTCTCCATATCCACCGTTTGCGCAGCAGGTCTGTCAAACGCAACCTATATCATCAAAGACTCCTACAACAAAACCAACTTCTTCGACGGCTTCTCATTCTTCTCTGGTGGTGATCCGACCCATGGATTCGTCGCCTACCAAACCGCCATCAGCTCGAATAACTCGCAGCTCGCGGGTTACAGCGAAGGAGGAACTATATATTTAGGCGTCGACAGCACGACGGTCAAACCACAAGGAGGTCGACAGTCTACACGTCTCGAATCGAAAAAGAGCTGGACGAAAGGTCTTTTTGTGGCGGATGTTAAACATATGCCTGGAAATGCTTGTGGGATCTGGCCTGCTTTTGTGCGTTATTCCTCGTCCCTTCCTCCCATTTCTTTCCTTTCATCCAAATCCCAACTTCAAAGCCATCCAAAGCAACAAGAACAAAAACCTAACACCCCCCCAGTGGACCTTCGGCGAGACCCCCACCCACCCCTGGCCCCAAATGGGCGAAATCGACATCCTCGAAGGCGTCAACACCCAAACCAACAACTCCGTAACCCTCCACACTAGCAGCGGCTGCACCATCTCATCCGCCGGCACCTCCCCGCTCTCCAACCTCCAAGGCACCAACTGTGAAGGCACCACGGGATGCTCCTCACACTCCAATAACCCCGCCTCCTTCGGCGACGCCTTCAACGCCGCCGGCGGGGGTGTCTACGCCATGGAATGGACATCCTCTTTCATCGCCGTGTACTTCTTTCCTCGTGACTCCATCCCCGCTGATCTCCTGGATGTGAATGGCACGCCAGATACGAGGGCGTGGCCGGCTCCTATGGCGAGGTTTAGTGGGGGCGGTTGTGATGTTGAGAAACACTTTAAGGAGCATCGGATGGTTTTTAATACGGCGTTCTGTGGGGATTGGGCGGGGACGAGGGAGACGTGGGAGAAGGATGGGAAGTGTAGGGCGTTGGCGGGGACGTGTAGGGGGTATGTTGAGTTGCATCCTGAGGCTTTTGTGGAGGGGTATTGGTTGATTCATTCGGTGAGGGTTTTTGAGGAGGAGTAGGGGGTGCGTCCTCGCCTGTTTCTTTGCTATCTCCCTCTCACCCTCGCGCGCTCCCCACCCCCTCCAAAAAACAAAGTCCCATCGCAACCAACACCGCTACACCCCCCAAATGAAATCAACAAAGAAAAAAAGGGAATTCCAAAAAAAATCCTCACCCTCAAAGAAGGCGGTCTCGGCCTCGGGCTTATTAATAAACCAGACAGACGAACTGAGTTTCTTTGCGGTTTGCACTAGTCAATCTACGAGTAAAGTAAAGCTCTCACCAATGTTTTGCTTCCATGAAGCTACGCAGGCATGTACCGGACGGGTGTTACGCAAGGATATGAGTGCGAAGGGGCCAATGTATGTAGTGATAATTGTTTGGGGGATGGAAGGGATGGAAAGATTGAGTGTGTTACTCGAGTAGGAGAGCTAGCTGTGTTAGGGTGGGGTTTTTGGTGTGGGTTGTTGGGTTTTGTGGTGATTTCTTCTTACTCTGTAATTTCTCTTTGAATTCTTTTTTATCTGGTTTTTTGGGAGCGAGTGAGTAAGCGGCCCTTGTTTTATTTCATGTAATCTCTTCCTCTCTTCTTTTGTTGGCGTGAACCAGGTGTTTGGGGCTAGCGACGAAATATCGGTTCTCATGAATTTTGAATATACCTGGGAGGTTGGAGCTTGGGTGGGTATCATTGCAAAATAGGATGGGAAAGTTTGTAGTTTGTAGTTTGTGGTTAGATACACTATATTGATGAATAGAGATTATAAATATTTTATATTTTATATTTTATAAGTGAGTTGTGTTATATCTACTAGAACTTGGAGTTTGGTTATTTTATTTAGATATGGTAGAGGTACTTTTTGTTGGGTTATATGAAGCGCTAGGTTATTTTGTGAATTGTGGGTTTTGACTGGAAGTGGCTTGGAATTTTAAAGATATGATGGTGTGTTGTTTTGGAATGCTTGGTCTGATGTAAATATATTGGCGAAACTACTCATAATGGGAGTACTAGATAACCAAGCTTAATAGTTGGTATATTTCAAAGTAAAGTCGACATAAAAAACGTAATAAACCCCTTTGAAAAGTAAAGATATCTCCATCACGCCGCACCGTATATATACTCTGTAATTCTTACCTTACCTATTCATCTTTGCGCCTACCTATAGACAAACGGTAACCATACTTCAACCCACGCTTCTTGATCTTTGCGCGATCACATTGAGATATCAAATATTAAATATCAAATCGTCTAACGTGGTTTATCAGCGAGTCGATCATATCACCGAGTCGATCACTTTTCCTTGGCACTACCTCCTCAAACTTCAACACACGTTTTCTTCAACTATTTACCATGGAAATTCAAACTCAAGAAGCGCGAATTACTCTAGCTATCGAGGCTATTCGGTCGTCCAAAAAACTAAGCAAACGCTCTGCGGCAAAGATCTACAATGTACCATATACGACTCTTTCCGACAGAATGGCTGGCCGAACCTACCGCCCAGATTCTCAAGCCAATTGTCATAAGTTGACTGAGTTAGAAGAGGAAGTGATTATTCGGTATATACTGGATATGGATTCCAGAGGATTTGCGCCCCGGCTCGCTGGTGTAGAAGATATGGCTAATTTTATCCTTGAATCGCGGGGGGGAAGACGCGTCGGCAAGCTCTGGGCCCATCGATTCGTACAACGACAACCAGACCTTAAGACGCGTTTTAATCGCGTTTACGACTTCCAGAGGGCCTTATGCGAAGATCCTGACGTGCTAGGCGCATGGTTCCGGCTAGTAGAGAATATGAGGGCGAAATATGGGGTTACAGACTCCGACTTCTACAACTTCGACGAGACAGGCTTTATGATGGGTGTTATTTGTCCTAGAATGGTTGTTACTCGTGCAGACCGACGTGGTAGAGGCAAGGCAGTTCAGCCAGGCAATCGGGAATGGGCTACAGCAATTGCCTGTATTAATGGGGAGGGCTGGAGTATTCCTCCATTCTTGGTAGTTCAGGGCAAGAACCATCTCTCCAACTGGTATACCGACGGCGGCCTCCCACCTAACTGGGTTATGAAACCGACAAGCAATGGTTGGACAAATAATGAAACAGGCCTGGAATGGTTAAAGCACTTTGATAAACACACTACAGCTCGTGCAAAGGGTCTGTATCGAATACTAGTTTTGGATGGGCACGAGAGTCATGAATCGGCTGAGTTCCAAGACTACTGTACGAAACACAACATTATTACTCTTGGACTACCTCCTCATTCATCCCATCTAACCCAGCCACTTGATGTTGGGTGCTATAGTGTGTTAAAACGAGCGTATGGTCGGCAGATTGAGACGTTTATCAAGGCCCATATCAACCATATTACAAAGGTTGAGTTCTTTCTAGCCTTTACAGCAGCATACAAGGAAACAATGACAGTCCTAAACTGTCAGTCTGGATTCCGCGGAGCTGGCCTAGTACCATTTAACCCGCAAGCAGTGCTTTCAAAGCTTGACGTAAGGTTACGGACTCCAACTCCCCCTCGGACGTGTAGTGCCAACTCCCTCCCCTGGGTGTCCCAGACCCCTTCCAACCCAACTGAAGCCCTTTCACAATCAACTCTTGTACGAAATCGTATAGCCTGTCATCAAGGAAGCTCGCCAACTCCACTTTTTCAAACAGTTGCTGCGTTAGCAAAGGGTACAGAGCGAATGGCACATGAGATGACCCTTTTGTCTGCTGAGGTCCGTACCCTTCGCGCTGCAAATGAAGCCCTAAGTAAACGCCGTAGGGCTAAAAAGACTCGTGTCCGCCAAGGAGGGGCACTTATAGTAGAGGATGTACAGGATATGTTAGCTCAGGAGGATGTAGATGAGCAAGTACGACGCGACATGCGTGAGGCGGGGGTTGGTTATAAGGAGGGGCAACCTTCTAGGCGGCGCTGTAGAACTTGTGGAAAAGCTGGTCATAACGCGCGAACTTGTCAAGAAGTTATAGATATATCTAGTTCGTCAGATATAGAGAGCGATAATTAATTTAATATATTGTGGTTGATTTATTTAGGTGTAAAGTTCTGTGCCAAGAAAAAGTGATCGACTCGGTGATATGATCGACTCGCTGATAAACCACGTTATTTCTAACTTCATAAATCTATCTGTGACGAGACGGGGAAAGAGGGTGAAGATCATGAGAAGCGGAGGGGTCTAGCGAGTGTCCGTTTCTTCCAGGGGAAAGGGGAAAGAGGAGGAGAAGAACGAAAGGTTTATGGATTTAGTAGGGATTTTTAGGGGTGACGTTGGTTGTAAGCCAATATGAGGAGTATTTCTGATTCTTGGGAGGGGTGATGGATTGATTCTACTGTAGGTATGGATCGGGTTGTTGAGGTATAGATATCTTGATGTTGTTCGTTGCCGATATGCGTATTATTAGTATATGTATAGTTATAAGGCTTAGTAGGAGTAATAGTATACTACAAATTAGTTAGATATCTATCTCCAACATGGCGCGCCAATATCTGTAAACTTACATAAGGGTTTTAAATCGCCGAGTCCGATATATTAAGAAAAACGACAATATGAAAAGTTCGTGAGAACTCAAAGAATGGAAAGTTTCCAGGTTACTGTAAGAGGATAAAGCGGTCTCGCTCAAATTAGGCTTGGTCGCGTTGGAAATTCTGCCTTTTGTGTGTGTTTTTCTGGAATTCGGTATGTGGAGAAGTAGTTGATTAAGTATTGCTAGTTATACTTTATTAGCTGGGATTGGGTTTGAGTAAGTCTTTATTTATCGGTTCAGTAAGAGATATACGGAAAGCTATAGATGGGTACGAAACTTTGCAGGCTTATTAGTTTAGTTAGGGGATTAGGATATATAGCAAAGGGTTCATTAATCGTCATAATTGGCAGGATTGATTTCTCGTGCTTCGAGGACATTTGGAAATCCTTTCATCCTTTATAGACCGCTGCCTGGGCCATAGAGAAACATGCACGCAGACGATGATGAATCTCAGAGAAGATTTGATGTTTAACTTGGATCCGTGATGGTGTTGCGGAGATGTCGTGGGATCAGCTTTTGTGATGATAGAGGTTGACTTAGTTTGCGTTGATTGCCTGTCCCGTCAGCGCTTGTATATACCTCCGAGTACCTCTGCACCTATTCGGAAGTTGAACAAAGCCTATGCGTACTGTAAACACTCGGTTAAGGGTAAATTATAGAGGCTAGAAAAACGGATTCAAGAGTGGGTTTACGTTATTTTTTTGAGGTATTGACGTGAATCTTTCTTTTAGGTAAGAATGTTTTTCGTCTTAGGTAAGACTTCCACTTAGAGATTATTATCCTACAACATAATAATATAGTTCCCTGGGTGAGGACATGCTTTGCAGCAGAAAGGAGCGTAAAAAGGAGACAGGCAGAATCGATCAGTACAGCAAGGACGCATCGTACAAGAAACAGGAATACGAGATTTTAGTATGAGGAATGTGTGTTATTTTTCCTATGTTTTCTCTATCTCTTTTCTTTCTCTCCTAGCTTTGCTGGTTAAGCCCTAACTATGCTCCGACAACTTATTTTGCTGTCACTAAGCCGGCAGCTGAGCCTCGCACGGTCAGTTGGAATGGTACACCTAGAGAAGGAAAGAATTTCTTGTAGAATTAGCTAGTACATAGGCACTAGTTGGATATTCGACAAGAACAGGTACCACATACCCAATGTGAGCCTCGCGCCTAGCAGCATAGGACAACAATAGTAATATTATCACGGTTGTTAGAAGTCCCAATCCATCCCAAACAATTTCCCATCGCGCAAACCCGGTTCAATTACACCATCAGCACCCCATCAAGTCCCCAAGGTCATTAAATATGCATAACCCAAACAAGCTCTCCCCACATCTTCCCTCCCTTATATATATATACCCATAAACATGTGCTCTCCAAATATAGAAACTTACGCACAATAGAAATGTGATAGAACTTTCAAAGTGGATACATACAGTGGATTCGAAATTTTCGGTTTTCGCTTATAAAGTAGAACGTCTTGACTCTTGAGGATTATGATATCACTTTGTGGCTTGACCGCAGTCATGCGATTCTTCTTACTTACAAGCCTTGTAAGAAGAATCGCATGAATGTGGTACAAGGCGTGAAAGGAGTTTTGTCATATAGGTTCAATTATGTGTTTGTTTGATTGATTGGATGGGAGGGATGTGGAGGAGTGTTGTGGGGGTGGGAAATGAGTATTCTGATATAATTTGTTTTGGGAGTTGGGGATATTTAGGTGAGATGAAATGGCTTTGAGAAGTCAATTATTTGAACATCGTTGTTTGAATAAGATGCCATTCAGATAAGCTACAGGACCCTCTAGCTCATTACAGCGAGATTCGGGGTCAACTCGGTGATCGGAAAACGACCTAGTTCATGGACTAATTAATTACCCTATTTATCGAATTGTACGGACCTAGAGCTGACCCAAATCGAAGCGAATAGATTTTCAACAATAAATTAAATCGATTGAGAAAACTAGAGTAAAAGCCGCATACCTATTCAATTCAAGTAGATTCATTTCTTACCCCGATATAACGTGATTAATTCACCATTCCAAAATACAAGGCAAAACAAAACAGACTAGCTAGTATCTCTCCCCTCTACATTTCATACCCAGATTCAAAACTGTCTCTCTAACCTTTAGCATCACCACCCGTTCGACGTTCGTTCCCTTCTATCCCCCCTTTCCCGCCAAGACCACGTTGGCTGTGCTCAGATATTAAGCGAGAATCGCGAATTGAGGATCGAGGGTCAGTCCCGAAGAAAGTACAGTACAGTAGTACCCGAGTACTGCTCCGTTAAAAAAATAGCACATACTGCGGAAAAGTAGTTAGTGTAGTTGTTCTACTTTCAATGGGCGCCGGGAGTGATGTCGAAGATGCATAGTGCTAACATGAGCCACATAGGAGATCTTGTGTTTATGAAGATGGTTGGAATACAGCCTACAGGCCAAACAGCTAGCTCATCGGGGATTCAGGCAACAACGCGAACTAATGCCAATTCATTCTGATAGTGGATGAACTACTTGTCTTAGCCACATTAAGTTAGTCCAGTCATATTATTAGCATCTATCAACGCTATTGACAATGCATGATGGACCAAGTAATAGCAATCAAATCATGTCATTTAGATTACTATAATTGCACCTAGAACTGGCAATTACAAAATGGAAGTGGTATCAAGCATATCTAATGCATCCGCTGTACAAAAGAAAATAAATATGACGAAAAGCAAGCATCATAGATGGAAATAGATATCCCCAGAACACCAAGAGATCCCGCTAAAATACAAATCATCATACGACATATTGAAAGATCAGCAAACGAAATGCGAGGAGGGTGAGCTCTTTCACGCTTTCCCTTTAACCCTCTGCCAGAGGCGCTTAAGGCCTTTTCCCTCTTTCTCCTCTGGACCCCACCCATCGACGCCCCCGAAAGGACCCCTGATCTCGAACTTCTCGTCCAAGTCTTCAATCGTAGGTGACATATGATGTGTATCCACTTTGGGTTTCATCTGCCATCCATAGATCTTCGACTCATCAGCTCTCAGGTCAGGTCTCGTAAGCGTCATTCGCAATGTCATCTCTCGGCTGCCAGGCGTCGAGTGGACGTAGTTGTCAGCTTGTTTGACAACCATCGGCTTGATGATCCCAATTTGTGAGCAATCAGCTGACGTCTTTGAAGATTTACCGATACTGCCAGAGTTATACATTGAAGCTCGGTGTGGGGGCGGGAATCTTTCCTCCATCGCCATGGGTGTTATTGGTGAATCGGGATCGGCAATTGACATGTCGTCCTCGAACAGAGAAGCTGTATCATCAAGAAACGACCGTCCCCCATCGGTTGCAGTTGATTTCTTGAAGTCGGAGCCATCTCTTGAGGTTCGTGTCTGAGCTCGGTTGTCTTTCTCGTCCCCCGTTGTAAAACTATCCATCGAAGGAAACCCAAATTCTATTGCTTCATCGAACTTTTGAGGCGAGGCCAAGTAGACTCTGAGTTTCAATCGCGCTTCTGGATCTTGGTAATGTGTTGCGTTGGGGTCTATCGATGCTGTTGGGGAGCTGCGAGGAGAATTATTTGCCGTTACTAACGAGAGGGTTCGAGATCGCTGTCTTGTTTGTGATGGTTTCGTTTGTGATCGCGAGAATGAGTCGCCTTTTGGCGATCGAGGTTGTATTGATGAGGATAGTGAAGGTCTCCCAAAGGGGAGGTTTGTAATTGACATATGCCGCCGAAATGATGGTCTCTGGTTACTCGTAGAATCAGGAAGCACTGCTCCCTCGATATTTGCATGGTAATCGTCCAGCACTAACCGCAAATCCAGATTATTCTCTTTGTCCATCCACCGGAAACTTTCCATGTACGCTTGAGACTCAGCAGCCAATGGGGTGTCGGGCAATGTTGGACTCGGGATTAATAATTCATCGTCTGGATTAATGACACGCCGACTCGCCCTGTATACCGCTTCGTCCGCCGCATCAAGTATGACTTTGTCCTGCAAACGTCCGTCCAACATCACTCTTTCCTCTGCCGTAAAGTTTTTTCTCTTGATCTTTGGTGGCAGGTTCAAGAACCACGATGCTTCAGTATTGGACGATGAGTCTCTCCGTGGCCGTCTAGGCGAGAGAGGTTGTTGTTGAAGCTCGTGAAAGGAAGCGACGCCGCGTCGGGATTTTTTTCGTAATAGTTGGGTAGGTAGGTCGTCCAGAGCTTGCGTGTTGGCCCTTTCAGCGAGTCTTAAACGTTCCAGCGTGGAAAAATACTGGAGGGAACACCCTATTAGTCTCAGGCAAATCCAAAACCAGGGGATATTGTGGGTAATTCGGCACGAAAGAGGACTATCTTGAAGCGTTTGGAAGGTGCGGTGATGAGAATCGTGCTGTGCATATAGAAAGATGCCCAAAGCGTATATGTTCATGCGGGACTGCGAAACTCCTTCGTCATAACTCACCGCCCACCAAACACCCATTGGGAGGGATTTTATTCCAAATGGGAGATGGCGAAACGGCGAATGATTCTGCTACCACTCGGTACCGGAGATACTGGCTGAAAGACCTCATCCTCGGGTATTTCGTACCACAATTTACACGACGGGATACCTTGGATTTAGCGAAGACTGCCGGTAGCAGCAATTGTTGCACACCAACGGAAGAGACACAACATCATCAATGTCATCTGGCTTGAAGGAGTGATGGTTGGTGGGACGTCTGCTAAGTAATAGTGTTGATATTAAAATTTGGCTGTGGTACTGGAGTGGATGCATGACTAGACCAGTAACGTTTTTGGTGATTTTATCGAGATTGGTGTTTACCGGTATCTTGCAAATGATACCATCATCACTCGCTCAAGCCAAATGTGTTGATGTCTGATGTTCAGCCATTCCATTTGGTGTCCGTGTTTCTCCTAGGTGCGTTGTTTTCTTTATGGTTCCCTCGACAAACCAAGCTTCTAGTAACAGTAACAAGTATTAAAGAGGCATGCATACCTTTCTTCTTACTGCCAATGGCAATGCCTCGAACTCGTCTTCTGTCGTATGGAATCCCGTCAAGTCCTTCATGTTCTTCCGTAGTTTATTTGATGGCACTGTTGCTGAGCTGTAGGGACGGTTGGGGAGAGGGAGAGCCTCGAGCTTTGCCGGACGTAGCAGGTCTGTACACTGAAGACCTGAGGCCGAACTAGAAGAACTGATGAGCGTCCGGCTGGAGTTTGGTTTCCTTGTCGAGCAGTCGTTTTTGCGGAAGGCGTTCGGGCTCGAACAGGAATTGGCCTTGTAGGGATGAGAACGTGAGGGGGCCATGACGGCGTCAGTGAGCAAGCAGAGGATATATTACGAAGTAACTTGGGCGGTTCGTTCGAGTGAATAAACAAGCACGCACGCAAGCAAGTAAGCGGGCAACAGACAGCAGGTTGAATCGAAGTAGGAGGAGAGCGTAATATTACATATTCATGCCGCCGGAGCTAGGAGAGGAACTGGACTGCTTTCTACGGCACATCCACGCTCACCGTGAAGGTGGAGAGCTCTCTGCCCTTTCGGCAAGGAACCGTAAACAACATATTTTTGAAGCTCCGACTCTCTTCTCAGGGATCATCAGGGGAACGCCAACGCCATTGGGCCGGGGCATGGGCATGGGTAGGGGTATGCTGTAGGTAGGGGAGCCAGTCGAACCAGTTTCGCTGGGACACCAGGGACTGAGGGACCAGTGGACCACAGTTTGCACAGCATCTCCCCTGTTCCTTGAGGGATCCCATCGTGCCTGTCAGCACCCTGTTTCTTCTGTTGGGCAACCACTCAGAGGGGCGGAATGTCAACCAAATTAGTGTGTTTTGCCGGGCGGTCTGACAGGCTCTGGTGGACCTTACCGTACGACGGCCCTGTTGCGTGGTGCGGGCCTATCAGGGACCGTTTGGTGTTCCCTTTTGTGGAAAAGACGGTGACGCTGTTGATCGGTTGCCGGTGCGAGCTGGTGTTCAGTGGTTCGCGCTAGACGGTTCCATTGCCCTTCGTCGAGTCTACATAACTCTAATTTTGTGCAATCGACACGACGCTGCCACTCTGAGCTTGCAATACTTGCAATACTAGCAACGGGGTATTAAATTGGTCTTGTACTCGCAACCCTAGAAACTACTTCGTACACGAGACCAGGGATTTGGGAGACAAGTGATGAGGGAATGACTCTGGTACGTCCTTCCTCTTCCCACTCTTGTTCGCTTCGGCGAGATTATTGATTAATTCGTTGAAACAGAGTCAAAACTACGCCTTCACTGGCAGAATCACTGCTGCAAGGAGCACTTCTACAAAGTATAATCATAAGCGGCCTCGGCCGGACGCTCTCCGCATTGAACTCAATAACGATAGGCGGAGACTCCACATATTCTGACCCAACATCGAAAGATCACCCCAACGCCGCAAGATGATCCGCGATAAAATCACCAAACAATAGCATACCATGCAGTGTGATAGATAGGCGTTGCTTGACAGCGTCACGGATTGGACCCCCCAACAACGTCGCTGCCGAATCTCCTGCTCACAGTCTACGGTGGGCCAACTAAGTATAATTCTATTTGCCGCTCGTCTCCTAGCATGCGTACGAAACGAGTGGAGGAAGCAGAATAGAAGTGCTTCGAAGCAACAACCAGTCCAAGGCAATGCCAATACTCGTATCACCACACAAACCATGGCTCTGGAGCTTCGCGCCGTCGTGGATCTCGAGCGGTTGGTTGGCACGGGAAAACACTTTGGAAGAAGCTCCAATGGATGACTGGCCCTCCAGGCTTTACATAGACATGATCGTCCATCATCCGAAGATAATTCGTCGAACATGGGCGTGGGTCTGCAGGTCTCGCTAAAGCCTGCAATAGAATATGCAAGGGCTTCACGCGTTCCTGGCCAATAGCAAAAAGTTGATCCGCGAAACTGGACTGTGGATTCAACTTGATCCATGCATAATTGTACCACATATCATTGCTGGCACCTCTTGGTTGGGCTCAATTGTGATAAAGTTGCGGTATAGACAGTATGGTACTTGTACTCCATGACCAAATATCTCGAGCAAATAGTATCAAATAAGCACTCAGGACCTGCCGGAAGCTGACGAAAACATGTCAAAATAGCCTGCAGCATTCACTGTGCAGCTGCCAACTGACAATTGCCCCTTTCTCCTGCTCACCCGCGACAGCACATTCATTGCATTGCATGTCCACACTTGCGTCTGCCAAAACGACACGCCAAAAGCATCCCGAACCTCCTGTCGTGCCACCAACATATCAGAACACCGAGGTACACCGTACATGATCGTGTCCCGTACGGAGGTACAATACGAGGTTTGGGATACAAAGCCATCTCACCAAGTCACAGCGTACGAAGATTATGTGGCTTGCTACGGGCCCTGACAGTTTCTTCAAATGAAAGTTGGCTGTGAAGCGGTGTCTTTGGCTGAGAATGGTGTCGTGAGTATTTTCAAATGAGATGCGACCATGATAGAGGGGGTGACCATTATCGATGCGACTCCCGTGCCCAATGCGTAAGGGGATAACAGAACTGGACTACACCCACATGATATTGGAGATGCATTTCTTCTGACTGAAACGTAAATTCTGACAGTTTGTCCAACTTTAGGGAAAAAACGGTGGAACATCCGCCACTTCTCAAGCCTCCTGCTGTCTCGATTGAAAAAGCACTTTCCAGGAGACTTCGGCATGAAGCAGCCTGCACGCCAATTTGCTCCAGCTTTGAAAAAACGACAAACAGGGCTGTTTTTTTCACATGGAGTACTTCGTACCCCCTTCTGCCACTCGGCAAGTCCAGGTACTTGGACCGCTCTCGGAGGGTGGGGTAATTTTATACTGCGTAAGGCTGATCAACGCAATCACTCTCCTTTTGAGATTCGACTTCCTTGAGCCATCATTACCGTCTGCTGTGACGCGAAAGCCCTTAGAATGTCGAGAGCCATAAAACACGGCTCCGGACAGCTTTGGTACAACTCCCTCGTTTTCTCTCAACAGGTGACTTCAGCCTGTCGAGCTGCCTTATTGGGTAGATTGATGAAGACGACGGGACGGTGCAGTTTGTTCCACCAAATTTACCCAGTCCCACGTTTTCATCTGGGATCGAGACTCTGAGAGAATATCGAGTTATGGTGACGACTTCATCTCCAAGCTCCAAAAATTGGGCCACAGCGCCCTGTTGGTAGATATCAATCTGGTCTGGCGGATAATTGTCACCTTCGCAGTGTGAATGACATTGTTGATCGCGGGGGGGGGGACCGACGGAGGTAACGCCGCTGTCAAAGCGAAAGCAGGCAGAAATTGGATGTTGAGGTTCAAAGATTGAGGTTGCCTTGAGCTCGAACGCAAGATTTCAATGAGAGAGCAAGCCCATCTGCAGCCACAGACCAAGGCCACCAATTTCTGTAGACTGTCGTGCCGTCCCGCTGCCTTCATGAACGTGGTTTGCACACTTTGCAGGGGTCGCGAGTGTGAGGCACGCGCGAACCGAGCGGCCAGCCGAGCACTCGCTTGTTCTCTGCGTTTTCGTTCCAAAGTTCTCTCCGAGATATTGGCAAGAATCTGGGGATCTTAGTACTAGTTTTATTGAGTCTTGACAAAGAACAAAACAAGATGTCAGTATTGGGTCTTGGGTACGGTATTCCTTTTATAGCAGTCCAAGAGCCGGCTCTTCGATGGTGCCTCGGTATTTGGGGATGATTTTGCTTCGGGGATGATTTTGCGTCTTTGCAATTTGTATGCACACACTGCCCCTTGATGCTTTGGGGGGGGCGGTTTATCGCAATTTTTTCATAATCTCAAGATTTTCGTCGTTGCCTCCCGGGAGCTCCGTGAAGACTGAAGCTGGAAGCTTAAAACGCGTTGATTGCGAATTTCAAGTCCACTCATTCACGTGGCTTGTTACACATAGTCTCAGATCTTCCAAACCGCAAATCCCAAGTTGCAAATCTCATCTGGGAACATTAATATTGCGTAAAGTTATCAGAAAGATGGTTGGTTTCAAAAGCCCTCTTTTGTTCTCGAGTGAAAGGCCGAATATCCATTTCGGGTCGGGCTTCGTAAGACTTCAAGTCACGATCGAGCCCTTCAAAAAGGCCAAATCAACTCTAGCGAAGTTAGTTTATGGCTATCTCAAGTCGAGCCGAGATAAGTGTTGGAAAATTTCCCGATTGGGCAAGTCTTGGAGTCGAACGCTCGGTCTACCGTGCGAAATCGTCTCTATTAAGCCACTTGCTTTCGAAGTAGAGAAGAGCTTTCTACGGGTCCTAGGGCTAGAAAGGTCCGACCACGAGAAGCTCTGTCTGCCGCTCATCCTTAGACACTGTCCTTGACCATAAAACGGCTCGGCCCTGATTTTCAGCTTAAGTAGCGAATCAGAGGCTCGGATTTGGCTTTAACTGTCCACCCTCTTGTGAGAAGAACTTCTAGCCACTCAGAGCTTACAGACAAGCCTTATTCTTATCCACTCTGGCACCTAGCGCTGACTACTGCCCTCCCCTACCATCCTCTCTAGAGGCTTAGAGAGAGTTTACCACAGTATCAATAGATTCTTATGCATGCACACATCATGAATAGTCTACGGACATACAGAGCACGAATTTTAATTTCCCTCCACTTGAGAGCATCAAGGAGATCTCAGATCAGCAACATCAAAAACCTCAATACCATTCCTAATCTGTCAATCACAACAGCGATCTCATGATGGCACACACTCATGTCCCTGCACAATTCATGCATCCATCAAGATCGCCATTTATATATGGTCTCGACAGCTCGCGTCTCTCTCTCCCCTGTATACGACTTGTTATAGTTAGGGTACAAACCCTACAATATAGCCTTCTAATCCAATCAGATTGTCCATTTAATGTGGAGATATATCAGAGATTGAGGGAGACCTGAGCTGTCCAGACCCTTTGTTTACCTCACCCTACCCACAAAAATCCTTCCGCAACTTCCCCGACCGTTTTAATTTACTACTCCCCCACATTCCAGCCTTTAGAGTTTAAAGTTTAGAGTTCAGAGATTCGCTACGTTGTTACAGGTGAACCCCTTCTTCTTTCGCTTATCTTCTTGAAATGCTCTTACGAAGTACATGGCATATCCCGAAGTCGTATCGTGAACTCATATTCTGGCTTGCAGGTTTCGGTGGATGTTCTGGAAGGAAAGCGGAAGATTCTTGACCATGGCGGTAACCACCAAATTTTTTAATTTTTTATAGAACATTTCTCCGAGAATCTGTTTTCATCTGCAGCTATGAATGCCTTCGGTAATTTGATGATTTGCACTAAAACCCGAAGTTGTTGCTTAAAAAAAGGTCTTCTGGAAGTTTTCGCTATCTGGACGCACGCTCCTCCTTTGAAAGTCCATCAAATCAATTTAAATTAATGGAAAATAATTGAAAAAAACAAATACCACGGGCTCGTTCCTTTACTACCTCCGTACTACTGGTAGTAAACAGTAGCGCGGCGAGATTTTATACGAAGTATCGACGAAATGGTAC